GTGCGCTGCTCAGTCAGTCGCCTCCTCAGGCCGCCGGCTCGCTTCTCTCCCAGGACCCCGCCCGCCCCGGGGCTGCCCGCCGCCCCGCCCGACGCCCGGCGCCAATTCTCCCCTACCTGGGTCTTCCGCGCCGCCCCAGCCCGCGCAGAAAGGGGCACGGAGAGCTCCATTGTTTTCTCTAACCCTCCTAGAGGTCAGCGCCTCCGCGGGGGAGGAGACACTCGTCCACATCCGGGATCAGGCTTTAGATTAGCCACCCCTCGAGAGAGGCCCCCACCGTCACCCGCCGTTGCGGAGAGAAAGAGTGTGGAGCGGAGGTGCAAGCGGTGCTTGCAGTGCCCCCTGCTGCTTGGGCTGTCTCCCTGCAGCGTCCCTCCTCCCAGCCCTGCCTTCGGGAAAGAGTAGGGCAAAGACCGTTTTCTTACAAAAGTGGTTTTCAGATATTTTAAATAGCAGAGCCCGTCTTCAAAACACACACACACACACCCTTACAGAAATGTTTTATCATAATGAGTCCCTAAATAATCACTGGTTTATAATAAAGTGGAACAATGAAGGCTTTTATTTACATTTGGAATAGTTAATACTGCACGTGGTTTAAAAATCAGAAGTATAAAAAGATATACAGGGGCCTGCCTGGTGGTGCAGTGGTTAAGTTCCCACATTCTGCTTCAGTGGCCCGGGGTTCGCTGGTTTGGATCCCTGGTGCAGACACGGCACCGCTTGTCAAGCCACGGTGTGGTAGGCGTCCCACATAGAAAGCAGAGGAAGATGGGCACGGATGTTAGCTCAGGGCCAGTCTTCCTCAGCAAAAAAAGGAGGATTGGCAGAGATGTTAGCTCAGGGCTAATCTTCCTCAAAAAAAAAAAAATATATATATATATATTGAGCATGTACTCTACCTCTTCTCCCAACGAAAGTGCAGTGCCTTTGAGGGCTCTGGACAAACTGGTGGCTCCTAAAATGTACCCCTGCAGCCCTGCTCGCTCTCCTGAGCACTAGAGTCACACGCCTACCAGATGTCTCTGCTTGACGCTCCTTAAGCCAACGACCTCAAGGTTGCACACACTGTCCACCCCCACCCCAACTTGTGTCTCCTGCCTTGATCTCAGTGTGGTGAATGGCATCCATTAGCTACCGAAGCAGGGCCCTGGGGGCACCCTTGACTGCGCTCACCCAGTTTGCACCAGATCTGGTCTCCTCACTATCTCTCACACCAGCCCGGCTTCCCATCTCTCTCCATTACCCACTAGTCGTCTCCCCCTCTTCTTTCCTGGCTGCCACAGCCTCCAGCAGCCTCGACTTCCTGCTTACTGTCTCACAATTCTCCAGTCCATTCTTCACAGCCAGACAGAGCAACACCAAAAGCAAGGAAGACAGGCTCCTCCAAACTCCTCCAGGCCTTTCACTCAATCCTGCTTACCTTCCATCTTACATCCCACTTCCCTGCCCTGGTGTGCCATGCTCTGGCCCTGTGGACCTGCTGTGGTTCCCAGAGTGGCCATGCCCCCATGTACCTTGTCTCTGACCCTGGTACCTGCTCTTCTCTCTTCAAGGCCCTCTCGCCCTCACTGCTGGCTAACAAGACTTGTCTTGAGTCCCAGTCAAGCAGCACCTCCTCCAAGAAGCCTTCCTTGACTGCTCCACCATGTGTCCCCTTACAGCCTTGACCCCACACAGCTATAATCATGTCTCCCTACCCATGTCCCACTGGACAAGGAACTACTCAAGGGTATGGCTGCATCTTATTCATTTTTCTGTCCCCTGTAGTAACTCGCACAGTGTCGGAACAGATCAGGCACTCAGTAAATGTTGGATAAATGGATGTACATAGGGTCAGTTAGTTATCGGCACAAGACTAGCACTCAGACCTATGTCTCTGAAACCCCTGCCCTCTCTAACACCCTCAGACGAATTCTATTTATTTTCAGAGAAGATTGTAGACATAGTAAAATCACAGAATTCTTACCCACTGCTTTGCTCATAAACAACTATCTGCCTCCAAATTTAGGAGTGACCCAAAACGTCTCAAAGCCCAAACGGGCTGCTGTGGGCTCACACAGGTATGGGCTGGGCCGGGACCCCGTCGGGGCGAGGGGAGGACCCTGGCAGCCAGCGCTTTCTTGGCCAGTGTGCCCAGTAACAGGATGCGGTTCTAAGCTTCTCCAGGAGCATCTCCCCGACCCGCGCGGCGCCCTCTAGTGGTCACAGTGCCCCACCACCACCCCCCGCCGCCCAACCTCCCAGCCTCCTGGCATTTAAGTCCTGGGTCTTAGGAGGGCTCGGTCCTCCTGTCAAGAATGGGGCTTGATTGCTTTTTGAGCTGCGGCGTGATGTCGCCCGAGTCCTGCTGTAGAGGGGGCGGGCCCGCCTGCCTGGCAGCGCTGCTCGCAAGGGGCGGTGCTCTAATCAAGGGCTTGGCAGAGAGGAGCGCTCAATAAACCTCAGCTCTTATGTCACAGGGACTGGCCACGTGGCTGGTGGTTGCTTCACGAACAGCACGCATGCCACATGCTTTTGGAGTAAAAGCATTTATTCGTGGGAGCAGAGATGTGAAACGCAGCCAGTGACATGGGCCTCCCGTGGGTGGGTACTAAGTTGGAGGGAAACACCTGGCCAGGGCTAGAATTGGCCTGCGTGGACTGAGGCACCCGAGGACCCTGGAAGCCATAGGGGACACTGGGCTCTCTTCCCTCTAGGGGCGGTGTCCTGGAGGACAACTCCTATCTTGGGCGACCGGAAGGCTGCCCTGGAAGAGCTGATACTGGAAGCCACTGTTGTCCCCTTGTGTGTGTGTGTGTGTGTGGAGGGGGGGCCGTCTGGGATGACCACCCAGCTCCAGGGAAGTGGAGGAGGGGAGCCACAATGAACCCTCAAGACAGGTCTTGTGTGCGTTTCCAGTGTTCTAGATTCTCGCTGTCCCACCCGGTAGCCGCCAGCCACAGGGGCTGTTGAGCTCTTGAAATGCGGCTCATGCAAGCCAGGAACCGATTTTAAATTAAATTAAATTTTATTTCATTGAAATATAAAGACTGATACCCAATTCAGTTATTGAAAAACTTATAAGTATTTCTGGAGCAGTTTGAGGAAATGAATCTATTTTTTTCAACTATAAACTTGAAATTTAAATATAGATCAAATATTTTGGATAAAAATTTAAAATCTGAATTGGAATCTAAGTGTCAGATTCTCACAGGATTTCAAAGATGCAAAACGTCTCAATAAAATTTTTCTATAATTACTATTGAAATAATACTATCTGGGGACATATTGGGCTAAAAAAATACATTGTTAAAATTAATTTCACTTGTTTCTTTTTATCTCTTTCTAATGTAGCTACTAGAAAATCTAAAGCTACATTATGTGCCTGGTGTTATATTTCTCTTTGACAGCGCTGGTCTAGACCCACGCGAGGTCTTGTTCCCTCTCACCTCCCACTCAGGCCTGGCCCTTTGGCCTGCTTCACAGTCTTGCCTGTTCTTCAATGCTGGCCCATGCTGGGCCAGACGAGACGGGAGGCAGAGGCTGAAGGTGAGACCCACTTCTGTAGGAGTGGCTGCCCTGGCAGCCCCGAGTTCTGGAATGAGCAATATACCTGGGACAGTAGGTGGTCAGCGGGAGGGTAGCCTGTGGTTGGGGTAGCCTGTGCTCTGAGGCAACACACTGCTCTGAGAAGACCTCGTTAGCCAGTGAGGGAGAGAAGAAACTCAGGGGACAAGACAAAGACCCAATTTCTGCAGCCAGGATTCAAAATGAGGGCTAGGTCTCAAGGACCAAACTAAGCGCCTAATTCCTCCAAGTAAGTGCAGAGCAGGATAGCAACAAGCTGGACTTAAGACTTGAAATCTAAACTCCTACTGAGGGTCTCTGAATTTCACCAGTCAAGGAACAGGTAGGCGTGGGTCTGCATTTGCAGCAGGCTCCTGAGCTAAAGCTGGGAGCCCTGGCAGGCAGCCGGACAGGGTTCTCACCTTTGCCAAAGCCCTGGCTGCACAGTGGCCCTGGCACCCAGCCCAGCTTTGGACCTGAGCTATCCCACACCCTCGGGGTCAGATTCTCGGATCCCTGTGAACCACGGCATGGCCCAGAGGGGTGGGCTCTGCCTCTGCTCCCAGTTACGCAGGCCCAAATATAACGCAGCAAGAGGGCTCTGGCTCAGGGGCCAAGGGCATCTGAGGGACTTATACAGGGTCCTGGTAATCCACCGTGCCTTGTACCCCATTTCTCCTTGAACTCCAAGATTATGCAAGTGGCAGGCTGCCCAGGCCAAACTCCACGTCTGTCTCAACCCTTGATCCGCTAACAGAAAACCAGGTCAGAAGGGGGTTGCGTAGCCCTTGGGTACAAAACCGGCTTTCTCCACTGTGCTGGCCATGTTTGCCACCCAAACAGGGCAAAGTGCGGGCCTCCTGACCACAGGGAGCCAGCTCTGCAACGAGGTTCTGCTACACTTTGAAACAGAAACTGCGTTCAGGTTAACTTGGCTGTCGTCGACCTTCCCCAGGGAGGCTGGGCCCTAGATTCCCTTCCCTGGGGAAACAGGGGCTTGTTCAGATCACAGGTTTGGGGGCCTCAGCCCCCCCGCCCCTTTGCAAGGTTGCCTTGTTTTTCGTCTGACAACAAAGGGACCCCCTTGTGTGCTAAGTCTTGGAGATAAATACTTTGAAAGGAGAGAAACAGAGACACAAACATTATAAAGGGCTCTCCAGGACTCCAATAAGGCCACTTTATCTTGTTAAACATGCACATGTGCATACAAACACCCCGCCCCCCCCCCCCCCCCCCAGTAAATACCAAGCTAAACTCTATCTTTAAAAAAATCTCTTTTTAAATATTTACTTTCCGGCTACATGTTTTTCAATCCCAGTCAATAGGTTTGCAGAGATGTCACCCAGGGTAGGACCAGGGAACTTCCAGGCCAGACTCTTCCAGAGGCTCCCACCATTTGCCCAGATGCCCCGCAAGGAGCACCTTACGAGAATAAAGTGGAAGAGCCATTCTTTTCTGGATGAGACAGCAATGAGGTATTGTTTGGTTTTATTAGATAAAAGGAATTATCGATTCAAGTCAGAAGCACCACAACTACTGCCATATTAGAAAGATTAGTACCCAAGAGTCCAGACTGCGACCTGATGGAAGCCCCTGGCTGATGGCTCCCGGTACCACTGACCTAATCTGGGGCCTCTGCCCTCAGCCAGGCCCACCCCAATCTTCCTGCCTTGTAAGAGTCCTTGGGGAAGAGATCCACCACCAAGGTCATCTATTCCCGCACCTAACTCTTCCGTCTGCTAGAAAACAGCAACTAGACTGTTCCTAAAAGGATGCTGCTTATCTTAGCCATGTCTCAAGGAAGCCAAGATGGGCCCGGAAGGACCTCAGTCCTGTGTTTATCAGTTGGGAGGTAGAACCCAAATCGCAGTAAAGAAAGACCTTCTCTCTTCCACTACTCACAGGAAATACTGAAGGTAATGAAAAGATAATGAGTAAACCACCACTTATACCAGAGACCTGCAAACTCACAGCCCACCAGGACGGGGACCAGGCAGGTGGCGTCTATGAGTGAAGTACAGTAGAGGGGTGGGTGGGTAGGTGGGAGAGGGGCTTAAGTTGGGGGGGGGGTGGGAATTTCATCAAAATGGAGATCATGGCACCTTCCATCCTCCACTCTGAAAACTAGCTTTTTTCTGTGCCATCTCCCCAGTCTCAAATATTGGCCATGGACTCAAGTCTTTAAACACAGCAGAGGCTGCTGCCATGTAACTTCTGCCTTAGACCATTTCCTAACCTAAAAAAGCTCTCTCCCCCCACCAAGTAATAAAACTCTAACCAAATTACTACCAAGAGATTAATGGAAAATAGAAAAATATAGCAGCTTCAAAGATACCAGTCTCCCCATTTTCAAACGAAATCAACAGTAATACATTGAGTTCATTCTTGTGCAGATGGAAGTCAGAAGGGTCCTTCTATTGGTGAGACAGCCTTGTATTATTAGAATGACACCTGCTGCCAACCAACCCCAAGTAAGATGTCATCCTACCTATCCTCATACTAAGAAGGATCAGACTCCCTATTATAGAGAATAAATTGAGTCATCGAGCAGGGACGGCTCCTCCTTAAATATCATAGAGCCCCTCAGCCACAGGTTTTCCATTCCTGCTTTTGGCACCATCACAGAGAGAGCTGAAATAACAAGTGGAAGTTATCCAGCACCTCGCAGAGCACGGGGCACATAGTAGGCACAATTGCATGTCTGCTGAGTGAATTATGCATGAATGAATGAATTTAGCTACTGCTCTTAGATGGGGCTTCCTCCTAGGGAACATTAGGAGCTGTCCCTACCATTCCGAAGACTGGATTTCTCCAGGGGCAGGAGAGAAAGACAAGGGAGGTAATGCAGCGTTCCCTCTACAAGCAAACAGATGGCCTTCCTCGCTTTTAGAGGACACTACTGACCCTGTCTGACTCAGAGGAAAAAGGATTCAGGACCCTGGCACCTCTGGGCTGGGTCTGCTTTGACCTTGGGTTAGGCCCTGAGATGGAGAGCAAGTCTTATGCCCTTGTAATCCACATTCCTAACTTTCCTTCTGTTTGGTGCTGTGGGCCATTCCCAGCATCCTTATTCTCAAAGGACTTGGCAGAGTAAGTCAAGGTCAACACGAGGAAGAAAGGGCCCTTTCTTCTCAGGGGCATGCAAGGCTATTTCTGTCCTGGGTCTGCAGCATACAGACCTTCTTGGCTCTAGCACAAGAGTGCCTGTATAGGCTTTATTCTGGCCTGTTATGGAAGCCAAGGTCCCAGGAAGCCCAACCCTCCCTGCTCTGGGAATCTCTTCCTAGAAATTGAGAGGGGGAAGAAAGTGGCTCATCCAGTTTTTCAAAGGTGCCAAGATTGGCAGTTTCAGTGGAACAGTTCTGTGTTGTTGGAGATTGTCCTGCACATTGTGAGATGCCACTAAATGCCAGGGGTGCCCCACAATCACAATAACCCTTCCAACACACACGTGTGCACACACACACATTTCCAATGCTGCCTGGAGGGATAGCCTGGCCCCTGGCGGAGAGCCACTGGGCTGGTAGCACCCTCATGAGTTTGAGAAACAAAAGCCCCAAAGGTTGAGTGACAGGTTGAGGCCACACACCTCCAGATCTGACAACTTCTGGTCCAGAGTTCTTCCAGCTGCACTTGAAATGATGGATGCTCATGCAAACAACCACGGGATGCTACAGCACCACAGAGTCTCAAGTACATGGCCATCTGTCTCAATGGCATAGAGAAACTGAGGCACAGAGAGAAAAAATAACCTCAGTGTGACCAGAGAATGAGCAAATGCAAGGTAGGGGGCAGGTTCCCAGAGGATACGTTTTTCTAGGTCCCACTTAGCTTAGTAAGTCCTCAGCCTAGCAGGTCACTGTCAGGGTGGCAGCCCCTAGCAGGTGAGACCTTTGTAGTTACTACCATGCCAAGGTCAACATGGAGGCACGGGGGCTCAGTGAGAAGGAGCCAGCCTCCAGTCTCCAGGTTAGAGGTGGGGCAGCCCAGGGGTCCAGCCTTCATCTTGAGTCTTCAGCAGGCTCAGTGGGACTGTGGACAGCTCCATCACAGGCTCTCGACCCCTTTTCAGGATCCTCACAGTCTCCGTTGGGAAATATGGCTGTCAGAGCCATCTCCTCCTCAGGGTCTCGGAAGTTATCTGGAACACAAGAGAAGGAGTTACCCAATCAGAAAAGGTTTATGAGTGAGCAAGCTAGCAACGAAAGGGAAGTAGTTGGTCCCAGTGACTATCTACTTGAAAAACAAAACAAAAACCTTGAAAATGTACATACCCTTTGACCCAGCAATTCCACTTCTAGGATTTTATCCTAAGGAAATAATTAGGAATAATTAGTGGAGCTGCTGCAGCCATCTTGCTAGCAGCCTGAGGATGAAACGACATGGCGGACGGCCCAGCAGAGAGAAGGACAGAACCTGGGTCCTTGATGGAGTCACTGGGCCCCTGAATCAACCAGCCCTGAAGCTGACTCCACCTCTAGACTGTCTTTTAGGTGAGATAATGAATTCCCTTGCTGCTTATGCTGGTTTGAGTCATGGTTTCTTCTTTCTTTCTTTCTTCTTTTTTTTTTTTTTTTGGTGAGGAAGATTGGCCCTGAGCTAACATCTGTGTCAATCTTCCTCTATTTTGTATATGGGACACCGCCACAGCATACACGGTTTGATGAGCTGTATGTAGGTCCATGCCCAGGATCCAAACCTGCAAACTCTGGGCCACTGAAGCAGAGCATGTGAACTTAACCACTATGCCACCAGACTGGCCCCGAGTCATGGTTTCTTTACCTGCAGCTAAATGCTAACCAATTTGAAGTTCAACAAAGGGATTGGCTGAGGAAACTCTGGCTTGCTCCCGAGGGGATTCAGGCTTAAAAATGATGCATAAAATCCCATAGAACCAAACACACACAAATAAGTACACGTAAAATTGGAAATCTGAATAAGACCTGTGGATCGTTTCAATGTCAATATCCAGTTGTGATATTATCCTATAGTTTTGCGAGATGTTACCATTGGGGGAAACTGGGCAAAGTGTACACAGATCTCTTTGTGTGATTTCTTACAACTGCAAGTGATTTACAACTATCCCCCAAAAAAGATAAAAGATGTTGCTGACACATAATTATTGCTGTGGAATATTGCACAGTCACAATGTCATTGAGGAAGAAAGCAGATTCCCTAACAGTATGTATAAATGTATGTACGTATCTGTAACCCCATACTCATTATATATATTATAAATGTATATGTATAGTCCCTAAATGCAATTTTCATCTTAGCACATTCACTTCTACATTAAATTAAACAATTTGTTATATGCTACAGAGAGGGAAGTTATCCAAGATTTGCACACAATTTTTTGATTCCTTTGCTTTATTTTTTCCCTTTAGTTTCCAGAGACATCCAAAATCTTGACGGAGAGGTGGAAGTGAACAGTTTTGCAATTAAATATTTTAAATATCTGATGCATTTTGCAGATGATCTGTGTGTTATACACAAGTGAATTTATTAAAATTTAAATAGCACAAGGAGATATAGATAGACAGACAGATAGACTGGTCTAGCCCAAAATACGGATTGTAGTTACCTCCGAGTGATGGAATTATATGAATGATTTTTAATAGTTGTTTTCCTTCTTTTAATTTTTGGAGCTTTTAACTGTGATAGGCAGAATTCTAAGACGGCCCTCAAGATTCCCACCTCTTGGTGTCCTCAGCCTGTATAATCCCTCCCTTGAGTGTGGGTGGGATCTGTGAATATGATGCGATGGTCACTCCCTTGATTTGGGTACCATACATGACAAGGGAGACGATGGATCGTCACTCCCGTGACTAAGTTACATCATAGGAGACAGGAGATTCTCCTGCTGTTTGAACGGGCAGCTGCCGTGTTGTGAGAGGGCTGTGAGAGGATGGAACTGTGAGGCCTCTTGGAGCAGAGAGCAGCCCCGGCTGCCAGCCAGTAAGAAGGCAGGAACCTCAGTCCTATAGCAGCACAGAAATGAATTCTGCCAACAACCATGTGAGCCTGAAGGAGGACTCAGGCCCCATCAAGGCCCGGCTGACACCTTGATGCAGCTTTGAGACCCGGAGCAGAAGGCCCAGCTAAGCTGTGCCCAGACACCAGATCCACGGAAAGTGTGAGAGAATAAATGTGTGTTGTTTTAAGCTGCTCAGTTTGGGTAACTTGTTACGCAGCAATAGAAGACTGATACATCAACTAATGACTTTTTTAAAAATAAGGGACACAATAAAAGTTTATTTTAACACACTGCCCACTGTTTCTGTAAGAAAGCTATAGCGTTCAGCACACTTTGGAGGGGTGGCATGTACATTCAGCTGGTGACAACCTGCTCCCCGGGTACTTTCTCTCTCTGTCAAGATAGCCTACATGCCCACTGACCTCACAGAGCTGTCTTCCCTTCTCCTTCTCTCTCGCCCCCACTTAGCGGCCTGATGATTCTAGCCTAGAAACAGCTCCTGGCTGACTTCCCACCTCTCCATTCCAACACTGCCCTGGTTGGGTCCAGGCTGCCCATCGTTCCTTCTGAGACTATGCAGTCCCCTCCTAGCTAGGCTCTGTCCACCTGTGGTCTCTCCCTGCTCCTGCAATCCTGTCACCTCTCAGAACATACCCCTAAGCTTGACACCCTGCTCAGAAATCATCAGTGGCTCACTACAATACCCTGGCCCCTGGCCCCATAAGACATTAACCACAACCCTGCTCAGAACGAGCCTAACATGCTATCTTTAGCTTGCAGGAAACCACAAAGAAAGTAAGGAGAAGATGGATGATCAAAACCAGGCCAAATCGGTTGAAGGCAACATGGCAGTCTGACTTGACCTGACATAGACCCCACAACTTACTATGTGCTCATTGTAATACATCATCATATTATAGAACACACCCACCGACGCCATGACAGTCTACAACAGCCATGGAAATAGCAGGATATAACCAAATAAGGAAAGAAAAGAGGTGGCACCCCTGCTTCCCAGAAAAGCCTGCCCACTTTCCCAGACAACTGTGACTATTCCTCCGCTTCTTTACCTAGACCCCTTGTAACAGCTGCTGAGTCGCCCCAGGAGCTGAGAAGTTGACTTGTGAACTTAGTTCCCACTTCTCCATTCTTTGGCCATTGAATAAAGCTAGTGCTATTGAATGCTCAACTTTGGTTTTGTTTCAAATCAGAGACACTGAACGGGAAAGAACCCTCCAGGCAAGGGACGGATTGTGGGTATGAGGCCCACCTATGGGCCTCGGAGCTCCTCTGAGTATGGGTTGGGGTCCCACTGGAGTGACGTGAAATTGGTAACAACCATTCCTGAGAGATTTAGGTCCAGGGCCCTGAATTGGCCCCAATTTTTCTCTTCAGCCTCAGCCCTCACTAGTCTCTTTCTGGGCCTCATCCCAGGGTATTCTTGACAGGGGCCCCTTTTCTGAGCATGAGATCATGCAGTCAAGCCTTTGTTCATGTCACTGTTTCTCCAGGTCTTCCCACTTCACCTCAGAAAAGCCCCAACCCCAGTTCAAATGTCACTTGCTTCGTGATACTCCCAGGATCCTCAGGGGAAGATGGAATGTGTTTGGTTCCATGCGTCCCACCACACACCAGGCTGACACCTGCATCACAGCCCCGCCCACACCGCCTTCATTAATCAGACTCCTGGGGCCACAGCCCTGCTGACCCAGCCTGTGTGCTGGCTGCCTGATGACAGGAGCACCTCACATTGCTCATCCGGCACAAGGCAAGTGTTTCATGGATGTTGGTCCACTCTATCCCCAAGGTCCCTGTGTGCATGTTACCCCTCCCATAATCCCAAGCACCAGGGTCCAGGAGGTCAGGAAGGGGACACACTCACCCTGAGCTGGGCCACTGGGGGAGATGGCATCTGGGTCCTTCCCCCGGCTCCAAGGACCCAAGGAAAAGCAGGCCAGCAGTGCCAGCAGGCCCGGTCTCTCCCAGGCTCCTTCCGCTAGAAAGAACACCAAGTCCCAGAGGCAGCAGGTCAGACGGTGCTTGACACGACTGAGAGATTTTCTGTTTAGTAAACCAAGAGCTGCAACTGCCAACTGCCCTACTTTCAACAGTCTGATTAAAAAACCAAAGATTCTGATGTACAAAAGGGGGTGAGGTTTTGTACTTAAAATAGAATAACAACAACAAAAAGATTGCTCTCTATATAGTGACTTACTTAATCCTCACAAAAACCCTACTACTATGTAGGTACCACGTTGGGAAAACCATAGTAACAAAAAAGACATGAAATTATGTGCAATTACACAGCACCAAAGAAAGTACTCAGAGAGCAGTAATTTGCCCCTGATTTTTAGTTCAAACTATTTCTTAACAGAAATAGATTGAATCTTTTTAGATAATCACACACAAAATAATTACATGTTGATTCTGGTTTCCTCATTATGGTACCACCTCAGTTATCTGGAGATCACTCAAGAGCCCCCAAATTCTGGAATCAGGTCAACTGGAGCAAAGTTTAAAAAAAAAGGAAGACTCTGAGAAGCCCAAACACAGAATATCCTGGTTCATAATTCTTTACTCGGGGTTTATTTACTCCTAATTTGCATCCAATCCTAACAAGACTAGATTCTTAGTTTTTCAATCCAAAGGCAAGTGGGTTAGGCATAAATTGGATCAAAGGACACTGCCAAGAGGCAGGCAACCTAAAATATAAGACTAGCTATCAGGCATGGAGCAAAAAGACTGGAAAACTTTAAAAAAAAAAAAAATAGCCATAACTGCTAGCAAAACCTTAGCAACACGAATCCCTTTGGTGTGATGTGAGGGTCATGGTGCAGCCCACCTCAAGAGCCCCAAAGAAATCAGTGGATGTTGAATTATAATTACACTCATGACCTTGAGCCACAAATGAAAGGTTTCATGTTGTTCAGTATGCTTTTATAAAAGTAGAAGCGAGTTTAACAAGTGGAGAATGATTCCCTTGCAAAATGTTAAAATTTCCTAAGTGTTAGGGATTAAAAGGAGGCACAGATTCTGCATGCCAGGCAGGGTGTTGGGAAATGGGAATAGAGTCATGCGCCGCGTAACGATGTTCTGGTCAACCACATCGCATATAACGACAGTGGTCCCATAAGATTAGCACCATGGAGTCTACATATGTAGTAGCCTATAACACCTAGGCTTGTGTAAGTACACTCTGTGATGTTCACACGACAAGAAATTGCCTAATGATGCATTTCTCAGAACATATCCCTGTCGTTAAGCGACGCATGACTGTACAATGCTGATGGAACTCACAAATGAAAGTGACAAAACCATGGGGTAAGAGCTTAGAGGGCAGCAGCGGGTTCTGGGATTTCACTTGTGAACCTGCAAACAGGAATGGGGAGGGTCATGGAAGGCTTCCTGGAGGAGGAAGTCCAGTTCTGGAAATGAGATGGGATTGGTCAGGCAAAGAGGAGCATGGAGGAAAAAGATTTTCATTCCGAGGCAACTGCAATGTGTACAAAAGCTTAGGAGGCCAGAGCAAGCTTGGCTCTGGGGAATTAAAAGTTGTTCCTTGGGAATGGGAGCCAACTAGGAGATTAAGGGCTCAGAGAATTTCCCAGGCACCAGTTCATTAGGGGGCAGAAAATTTTCCCCCTTGGGGCCAGATCAGCAAAGGGCCTGGCATCAACAATCAGACGGACAATCCACCTCGAGCTATTCCTGAGGTCTTTCAGGATGCTGGTTGTTGAGTTTCAAATTTAGCCAGCTTCCTTACAGACTCCACAGAAGGGTGTTGAGGGCTAGGAGGGAGAGGTTAGGACATTCTCCACAGCTTGACAGGGATGGCCTTCCCCCAGGCAGGCCAGACTGGCAGGTGGGTCTGTGACATCAGAGGTACCAGGCCTCCTGGCTGGAAAAGGCTCCCCTGCAAGTCTGGCATCTCCCATTTGCTGTTAACACATCAATGCCTCAGGGAGGTAGAATACAGCTTCTGTCTTCATTAACTCTTTAGCGAGAAGAGCTGGCAGAGCTTGGAGGCGGGGCTGGTGCTGACAGTGGGGGCGGGGAGGGAGCGGGGAGGGAGCTGGGAGGGTAAAGAACGCTCCTGCATCTCCCACTTTTGCCAGATCCAGCTACACTTGAAGTTCATATTCTAATCCTGGGACACTGGAAAGCTCCTGTAAAACCTGTGTACCAGGATGCAGGAGATTCTGACCCTTCTGCTGATGGCAGCAGTCACAGGGGCTGGAAAAAGATCCTCACTCCCCTCCCCACACTTTAGGAGAGTGTGACGGAAAAGGTGGTCTCAGCAGACCATGGGGGAGGGAGGGAGACACAGCAGTGGGTACACAACCAGGTGGGTAACCAAGAAGGACCTGAAAACTCTGTGCCCTCAGCCCCTCCAACCCTTTCCTCTAAGTCCTCTAAGCATCTAAGTCCCTCTGAGTCCCTGGTATCTGTTCCTTGCCTTCTTCCTCCCCTCGGCACTTCCACAATGAGCCTCCACCGTCGCATCCTAGAAGTTCCGGGCACCCCCAACTCCCTAGTCCCAGTTCTGCCCCTCTCCCATGGCAAAACTTGCGCATCCCAAGACTTTCGCCTCTCCTTACCTTCCTGCCCCTCGCCTCTGTCTGGCTCCCAGATCTTGCCCAGCCCAGTCCCACCCTTCTCTCCACCAGCCTCCCCCCGCCTTCTGCACGTCCCCTCGGCTTTCCTAAGCCCTTGCATCTCCCATGCACTCCAGATCTTCCCGGGACAGGCTCGACCCCTTGCCCAGATCCTGCTGCGCACTAGCTGGGAGGCCCAGTGCTAGGCAACTCCCCTCTCTGGGCCTCAGTTTACTTCGGTGCACAACGAGGGGCGCTGGCCTAAAGAGTTCCAACTTGAGGGCCTTCCCCCAGCCGCCGCCCGCCCGCGCCTTCCCGGGCCTCGCGCCCCCTCACCTGGTCGCGCGGGCCCGACGGCTTGCAGCGCCCTGCAGGCGGCCGCCTGGACGGCCAGGCAGGAGGCCGGGCGGCCGGGACAGTAGACGGCCGCCTGCACCGGGCCCCCCGCCTGGCGGCCGAAGACGGCGCGCAGCAGCGCCTCCAGCAGCCGCAACCCCGGCGCCACCGCGTCCTCGGGCCCGGCCTCGGCCACCAGCACCCCGACCAGCGCCGCGCCAGCCCGCCGCCGGCCGCGCACGTCCCGCAGCATCTCCCGCAGGCGGCGCCGCGGCTCCCGGGCGGCCAGCGACGCGGCGCGGCACAGCACGAAGACGAGCGGCGAGCGGATGGCGCGCGTCTCCGCCGTCCCGGGCGCCCTCCGCGCCCCCGGCGCCCCGGGCCCCGCGCGCTCGGCCGCCGCGCCCCCCGGCTGGCCGGCCGCCGGCTCGGCGGGGAACAGCGCCCGGGCGAAGTCGCGCAGCTGCGCGCGGCTCTGCTCGCGCTCCCACAGCTCGCCCACCAGCAGCACCTGACCGCGGCCGCCCGCCGCCTCCACCAGCGCCTGGAAGGGCGGCTCGGCCGGGCGCGCCTCCAGCTCCCGCTCCATGCTCGCCGCCGCCCTGCCGCGCCGGCTGCCGGCCTCTCCCGGCGGCGGCGCCCGGGTCCCGGAGGACACGCCCCCGAGGGCTGCGCCCCGCCCGACCCCCGCGTCCTCTGAGGGTGGCGCCCCCCGCAGCCCTTCTGGCAGACTCGGGGAAATTGCCCTGTGGCCGTTCGTCCATCCATCCATCCGTCCATCCATCCAGCCAGCCAGCCAACAAACGCTTATTGAGCACCTACTAGGTACAGAGCAGCCGAAGGTGGAGGAAGACAGAATTATTATGTGAACAAATATACTGTCACAAATGAGCTCGGTTTGAGACCTGAAGCAGGTATTTCTGAGGAGTCCGTGTGGTTCGGGGATAGGGACTTTTGGAGGCAGGGCCTGCCCCTAACTGTGCTGCTCTGGAGTGAGAGGGGGGCACCAGAGAAGGGGCTGCAAAGAAGGGGGTAGGAGAAAAGAGACGAAGCAGGGATTTCTTCCTTTGCTTCTGTCACTTAACTCACCTTTTGTGCCTTCGGCGTTTAACAAAAACCAACTGAGCGCTCATTCTTGCAACATACACTTATTACCTGCAGGGCACTGGTGTCAGCACTGGGGGTGAAAACCAAGAAGGAAGACAGTGCTGCTCCCTGGGGAGCAGAAAGTCGAGGGCGGCAGACATGGGGCATGGTGGTGCTCTGATCTGTGTGGGCCCCTGGGGACAAGAGGATGTCAGGAGGCCAAGTCAGAAGCAGGAATGCATTTCCTTTCTTCTAACGGTCTATATAGAACATTGTCCGATAGAACATCGGTGATGCTGGAAATGTTTTATATTGTCTGTACTGTCCGATGCTGTAGCCACTAGCCACATGTGGCTATTATCGAGCACTTGAAATCTGCCTAGGGCAACTGAAGAACTGAATTTTACATTTTATTGAAGTTTAATTAAATGTAATTAGCCTCATGTGGTTAGTGGCTACGTTATGGGACAGTGCTGGCCAAGGCTCTTTATTTCTCCTCCGTTACACAGTATAGACCAAAGGCCCCTTTGGGTCAAGAACATGTTAATACTCAGCTCTTTCCTTCACCATATAAACCCCAATCTACTCTTCTAGTTACCCTATTCCCTGCCCCCTATAACTATGCTGAACCATCTCCTCCTGGAGAGTTCTAATGTCCAGTCAATAAAACAAACCTGTTTTGAGTACCTACTATGCGCAAGCAGCCCTGCCCTAAGTCTGACCATCCAGCAGTTGTTTCAGCCAATGCTAGGGGGAAGGGCCCCATATCTCTGTTGGAGTCCTAGTTAATACGACCTATTGCCTCTGGATACTATCTTTGCCCAGGGCAGAGATCCAGGGGCTTGGGTGGGAAAAGCCCAAGATTTGGAGCAAGAAGCTCTGAGCTGGAATCAGGTTTGGTTCCTGCACCAGCTCAGTGACATAGTCATTCAGCCTGTACTTATTGAGCATCTCCACCATGCACTGTGCCCAGTGCTGCGGAGACAGCTGGGAATGGGACAAGTTCCTCCCTTCATGGAGCTGACGTTCAGGTGGCGGCTGGGAGAAAGAGAAACAAGTAAACACATACATAACAGCTTCAGATGGTGATTGGTACTATGAAAAAAATAATGCTTCGATGATAAACAATATCATCAAACAGATGATATTGTCCTGGAGATGCGGGCCGCTTCCTATGAATACAATCTTGAAGATGTCACAGAAGCAGGGGGAAGGTTGAAGAGGACTGAGACACTAACGTAAAAACCATGAGAAGCATCCTCCGCCTACCTCCTTGGAGGCAGCAGGTGGTTGGGTCGTGGTGTGTGGGAAGGAAGCAGAAGCCCCTTGCAGATGAAGACTGGGTGCCATGTATGAGAACAGGCTGAGTAAACACCTTGTCATGTGCTCTTTTCTCTGCCCACATTGGCCTTCATAGATCATTGCCCAGCCCCAGCTCATTCCCACCTCCACCCCCACCACCATTGCCATGATGCTGGGAGGCAGAAAACAGCTGTGCCAGCCAGTGATGTTAACATCAGGCTGAGGAAGAGGAAGGAGGAATCATTATTTCCCCTTCACAGCTTCATGATCTAAGGTGGCAGCTAAAGCTCCAGCCATCACATCTGTTTTCCAGGCAGCTGGATAGTAGAAGATTGAGAAAGAAACAAAAATCAAATTGACTTCAGATTTCTTAATAGCAACACTGGCTTTAAGAAGACAGTTAAATAACATTTTCAAAGTATCAAAAGAAAGAACTTTGAAACTAGATTTTTATTTCGAGCTAAATTGTCAGGTATGTAAGAGATCAGAGGGTCCATCATATATAGCCCTTCTTTGAAAACACTGTGAAAGGAGACACTCCAACCAGAAGCAAAATAAAAATAGGCGTGCTCAACAGCAGCCAGTAAGAGGGATGAAATCACCTGTATAAATTATTCTCGTCTAAGTGAATGGCACAGGGCAATGCCAGCAAATCACAGCCGGCGTGGGCATAAGCTGAGGGGGTGGCAGAGCTAGTGGGAGTCCTACCAAGTGAATGGAAAGGAAATTTACCTCATCTAGGGCATCTCTTTGAGGAAAACATAGCAGCTGACTAGAGAAGAACCCTCAGATGGCTGGTATTTTTGTACTTTCTTACAAGGCTTGCCTGAAAGTGACATGCTCTGCCTCTTGACCTATTTATTCCGGGGCTCTAAATTTCCAGGTAACAATTCCAAACTTTCCAGTGATGGGCTGGAGGATGGATCAGAGAGGGGGCGGGTGTTAAACAAAGGTCAGAGTCCAGGGCCAGTGAAGTTTATCTTTACCTGTGTTATTTACATGGCAAAGGTTCAGGTATTAAATTAACAGGAAACTACGAAGACCATAAAAAAAGGCAGGGTATCAAAATCTTTCTTCCTCTTCTCTGTCCACACCCTAGAAAATATCATAAAACAAGTAGGCTTTTTCTTATTTCCCTGGTTTTCTATGGAGATATAAAGTGAAACTAGGATTTCTGAAACTATTTGCTTCTTCACGTTCGCTCAAAGCCCAACTTGGTAGAAAGAGTGACAGAAAAGTGCTGATTTGGAAAATAAGGAGTAAACCTGGTCTAGTTGCTGGTACGCCCTTTCTCTTCTTTTCTCCTTCTCTTTCATCCTATTCTCCTTTCTTTCTCTTCTCTCCTCCCCTCTCCCCTCTCTTCCCTTTCCCTTCCTCCACTGACCTCTTCCCTTCCCCTCCCCTCCCCTCCACTTCCCCACCTCTCCCCTTTCCCTTCCTCCCTCATCTCTTCCCGTCCCCTCCCCTCCCAGCACTTTTCCATTCTCCTCCCCTCCCCCACCCCTTCCCTTCCCTGTTCCCCTCCCCTCCTCCATCCCTTCCCTCCCCTGACCCTGACCCCACCTTGGGCTTTTTTCCTTTTCCATCACTCTTTTCTCCCTTCTTTCCTTCCTCTCTTGTCTCCCTCCACACTCTCTCTTCTCCCCTAAGACAATCGTTTTGGGGGCGACGAGGAAGGTGGGATCTGGGGAGATTTTATGGGCTTCCTGGGGAGCCAGATAGAGAGAAAAAGATCTTAAATGTTAGGAAGACTATGGAGGGGAAGGAAATTGGGGGAGCCCCCCAGGACCCACAGAGCAATGAGGTTAGGGTGGGAGGAAGTTTTAAAGACTGGGTCTGACCAGGGGCTGTTATGTCTAATAATTAAATAGACATAAGACAAATTCACAGGAGAAAAACAAATTTAATTGTGTACATATGGGAGCCCCACAAAGACATGAGACTCAAAGCAGTTGGGCAATTGAGGATCCCATGCTCTCCTGAGCTGAGGAAAGGGATAGGGGCCTGGGGCTTCTAAGGGGAGGAGAGCCTTTCACTGGAAGACAGAAGAGCAGATGTTCTGTAATCAGATGTTTACCCTGCCTTGCAGGCAAAGTCTTTCAGATAAAAAAAAAAGTTATTTTTGGTAATAGCTCTCTATCTGGTACAGGCCCCTTATCTAAATTCCTTTGGGCAGCTAAGGGATGAGGTAAAAAGCTTTTCCTAAATTTGCTACAGCTTGACTGCCTTCTGCTCAAAATAATCCTCATGCCAAAGTAACGCATTTTGGGGTGGCATATTCTGTTTCCCCTCATCATCTACTTGGCCAGGGCTGGTTCCCACCAGGACACTGGGAATGCAGATGTCCGTGACAGCGGTCTTCTTATGAGGGTCAAGGATCTCAGTTTCACCTGCATTTTAGGGGGTCTAATGAAGATTTGTTAAGAAGGCTGGGAGGAAATGCTGTGAGCCAGAGGCATTGGCTTGAACCCCTATAGTACCCCTGCTGGGCCAGGATGGGTCAGCAGTGTTGGGAGGAGCAGAGGGCAGGTCCCCCAAGGCCAAGGGAATCCTCCATCAGCAGAAACTTGTACTCAGATTGCCCTTGAGCCATCCCGCCAATATCGCAACCCCACCGTCCACTGAGGGCCACACAGGGGAGGACCTGGGAGGATGAACTGAAGGAGCATCTGTGTGAAGCAGGGGCCCCAGCCAGCTGTGCTTGGCATCCAGGAGCAGGTGACAAGCTCACCTGAGGAGAGCCAGCACATCTGCATCTTCAGTCCAGTGCAATATTGGCAAAGTACAGCTTCAGTATGCACCTCGGAGAGAGTGTCTACACCTGCTGTCCCAGCCATGGCTTCCAGGTGACTTCATGAGATCTGTCAGCATCTGAGCCTCCAGCAGGGCAGGGAGGGGAAGAGCAGCTGATCTGTCCTGTAAGGACATATGGTGACTTTGAAGCCATTCAACTTGGTCATCCTTTAAAATCCACCTGGCCGGATCAAGTAACGCTTGAGCACGAGTCTCCCAAGATCCAGCCTCGCTGGAGAATGGCGCTGGCCAAGAGGAGCCAGGAAGTGGCCAGGATCTTTAAGAGCTGGATGGGGCCTTTACTGCCCCCAGGACATGAATGTACCAACCTCACCCAACTAGGCACCCTTAGCTGTCCGATCCCTCGAAGTTAGAGTGGGTCAAAGGACAGCTATCGTGGGATGCATCCCCATCCATCAGGCAAGGCTCAGAGCAAGCACCCCTTTATAGACT